AAGATCAAGGCACCAGCAGGTTCATTTTCTGATGAGAGGCTAGTCTCAGCTTCCGAGATGTCGTCTTAAATATTGCATCCTCTGGAGAAAAAGGAATGCCATGTCCTCACATGGTGAAAGGCAGAAGGCAAAAAGCACAAGGCAGAAGGTTAAAAGAGGTTATCTCCCTCAGTCAAGCCCTTTTATAAGGGCACTTAATCTCTTTCATGAAGGCAGCGCCCTCCTGATTCAATTGCCTCCCGAAGTCCACGTTTCCCAATACTATTACAATGGGGGATTAAGTTACAATGTGAGTTTTTGGAGGGGACAAAAACATTCAAACCATAGCAGAGATTGCGGGGGACATTTCAGCAAGATGTACAATAGGCAGTTGGGTATCTAGGTTTGGAGGAATCATTCTAGAGAAGCTTGGGAGGAAATGCATAAATCATTTTGTGAATCTCTCATTACTTCATAAGTGCCTAAAAGTGAAATTGCTTCTTCAAAGAGTATGAACTATAATGTGGGGACTTACCAAATTTCTTCTCTCCTTTCCCTACTGCACACACTCCCTAGTTGCCCTTATGTTGCCATGATGAACAGATGCTACTGTACATGATGGGCATGTACAGTAATCTACATGTATGCTGATGTGGTCTGGTGTTTTAAAGTTCATTGGTTGGGAGATAGATTTCAAAGTCATACCCCCTTTTTTGTAAAAACTGCAACAACCCTCTGCTGGATTCCAATGGCTTTGTAAATACCATTAGGTAGTACACATCTGCATCTTTATCAGTCCAGGTTCCAGGCAGGAAAACAGAAACTATTCAAAGTATTTTAAACAGACACCATTTACTATAGAAAAATGGTCACACAAGTCTTGAAGGCTAGAAGAGCAAAAAGGGGAAGGTCAGATTGAATCAGAAATTCCTAACTGCAGCATAACTACCAGTCTTAGAGCTGGTGGAACAGAGAGTAGATGTGGTATTATCAGAGTCCAAAAGCAAACTCACCGCTAGGGTTGCTTCGAGATAGTGGTAAAAGATGGGGCTGTTCCAGCTGGTTCTGGACTTTTGCAAGAGACACAGCCATTCCCCTGGATGTAGAGAGTCAGAGAAATGAAGAACAGTAGTTTTCCCATGTTCCACCTTTCTG